TTATAATGCGTTAAATATTATATGGCTAAGTTTTTCCATTTTCTAAAACCTTTCAGCATGCTGCATTATGCATGAATTAATACATGCATTACAGTTGTGTAAACAGAATTCAAATTGGTTAAGGATATTTTTGGAAGAAGTACAAGGATAAGGACATTGGGTACTAAGACAAAAACGGATTGTTTTAGTGCATGTGGATTTGAGCAGCAAAATAAAAGGTAGCAAGTAATATGACAGTACTCAAAGCAGTATTTCATAGCGTGATACTTATGAATGGAAAATTATCTATCGCTATGATACTCATATTTATTACTAGCTGTTCACGTGGAATTTAAAAGGAACTGCCTCAGTAGGTTCGATTCAAAATTTTATAGGGTTTTTTGAGGAAAAATAGCCTAAGTTACTCATTATGTAGACAGCTACTTGGTAGTAAAATATTATCAAAATCGTTCCACCCGTTTAGAAGATAACCCGGAACAAACAGACAGACAAAAAACTTTAAACTGGTTTTTAGGCATATGTAAATACATTATATCTATCAACCTATTGAAACCATCTACGGAACTCTAAAATAAAGCAATCGGGCTTCTTTGAGTCATTAATCGAAGCCTTTTAAATTCTAATCGCCTTAATTGTTATAAAAATCAATATTCATTTTGATGTCGGTTGAATAATGGTAAGTCGTAAATAAAATTGTTTTATACTGCTGTGTTATCAAAGAAGCAAACACCACGCCTATTGGTTAGCAACAAATGCCAATGAATTAAATTACTGAGTAATAGTACCCGTACCTTAATTTAACTATAACTAAAGTGAGAATAACACTTATGAACACATTTAAGCGAAGTTCGTGCGTGAATAAAGGAATACCGCTTTTGTATAAGATGCCACTCTGTTACAATTGCGCTTCCATATTCTCAAGAACGACGAATATTTTAAATCATCATCAACATCTTTAGATTAAAGATATAATAAAGATATAATGTACAAAGCGATGTAGATATGATTGTATAATTTGTATTCAGAACGGCATTAAAACAATTGAAAAAATTAAGAAACAATTAGTTTCAAATGTCGGGATCTAAATTATTGGATGTTAGATAACATTTTTTGTATTGCAAGCGTAAGGCATTACATCAAATCAGTCATACCGTGAATGTGTAAAGATATCAACGGTGCGGAGGTAATGGGGAATAATTGGCCAGTTTAGTTCTTAAGTCACTTGACTTATAATCGCGTTCGGCCAATTACATCTAACTGGATCAAAAGCTGCCGTCTGAGGGAGAACAATTTTATGATATATCATCAGAATTCTTTTATAAGATCGAATATAGTTTGTTACCTCAATTACTAGCTGTACCCATTTAATAAGACTGCAATTAAATAAGGATGTTGTATTATTCAATTTTATAGAATGGAATGATTTCTTGTCTTCATGGAAAAAAATGATTGTTTGAGGTAAGATCGTAAGGTCCTTGGTTCAATTAGATTCTTGGAAAATGTTTTTTTTTTATAAGTATTTCACGAAACGAACTCTGTGTACCCGAGTGATAAGCTTAGCATTCATTATCTTCTTCCGGTCACCCATCTGGCCAATGTGGTATAGTAGGCCCAAACCTCCTTTTTAAGGAGAGGCATTGGTCTATTAAAGGTTGTTGTTGATGATGATGATGAATATATATGTGAAAATTTTTAGACGAACGAGCAGACTTGTCACCTGATGAATAAAATTAAACCTATATTTTTGTCACCTCGTCAAAGCTTATGCGCAAGTAGACAAGGCACGCTTGATGGTATACCTATCCCCAGTGAATATAAACACTAATAAACTAAATAAACATTAGTTGCTAGCCATATTTACCTTGAAGTTCAATATCTTAATAGTAGTTATTTTACCCGACTGCCAAGGAAGGGTTATGTTTTTGTATGTTTGTATCAAATGTTTGTTTGTAAAAATGACCCATGTTTTTGTCGGATCTCGTGCTGTTTCGGTCTTTTTAGTGCATCATCCGGTTTTTGATTTTTAAATTGTTATTTGTTTACAGTAAATATGCTTTATAGCAAGAATCTCCAGGCTATAGGCATTTTCATATCTTCTTTTTACATTAATTGTAGCATTTTATTAATTACCTAGCATTTTCAATAAACCTAAATTCTCTGACCCAGAAACAATAGGTGCTCAGTCAATCTTAGCTCTGTTCACGTCTTTCGCATACATTTTATACAACGTGAAGTATATTGATGTACGGCAACGTTAATTGAGCCATTAGTGACGTAATTGATGTTAATTTATCAAGCATTCTATTAATTTCATTATATGTCGCTGAACACGCGCCATGTTCGAGCGTGTTTTAATTAACAATATTATTTTAAATTAAAAATTTGCATTACAACGGATGGATGTAATTACGTATAATAGTTGTTTTTGATATGGTAAATCGCCTGTGTTACAGGACTGATGTTGGCTTCGTTTTAATTAGAATTCTGGCTGGATGCCTTAAGGTTTAATTTGATTTCATTTTCTTCTGATTTAATTTTAGTACAAAAAAAAAAACAAAGTGCGTCATGGTAAGCGATTACAGTCCTCAAAACAGTACTCGTAACAACTCGTAACAAAAATAGTGTATGTGGCAATCTAAAGCAACTTGGAAGCAATTTAACACTATGCTTGTAGTTCGCGTTACCCACGGTTTACTGTAGTTTGACGGTTCTTCCGTCGTCGAGTAGCTCCAATTGGCAAATTACCGTGTCTAGAAATTTGCTGTACTTCTAGGCATTTACTAATACATTCTACAATATCTCAATGATAAGCAACGTTTTGCTGCCGCCTACCGCCAGTCACTAATTATGTCTTATTAACGATGATTTTGGTAGCAGAAAAATTGGCAATAAACTGATTAATCACACGTATTGAAGGCTTGTTTATGTCTGCCTGATGATAGTTACAAGGAAAGAACCATTAATCACGTGTTTGAAAAAATACTTTTCTCGGTTTATTCAAGTAATAGATACACAGATACATAATAGAGATACTGCAACTATATCCAAATCATTAATAAAGGAAATATAAACATTTATTTTGTTGCACACAAAGGTTCACGACGAAGATATCACGACTTATCAACATACTACAAAAAAAAAACAAAATATAAATAAATTTATTGACACCTGAAACCAAAACAGTCCTTAGCTCTTTAGTGCCATTTCTAAGTGTTTTTTTTAAATGTAAAATAATATATATTATAATAATAATATATAATATAATATATCTCACTCACTCACTTATATTCATATATATTTAATAAAAAAGTCACAGTTGCTTGTTTAAAGTTATTAGAAAGGAAAGTAATGTGTTTGTTCCTTAACGCGACTTCCTAATCAAAGCGTAAACAGGTGATTAGGCACGGATGTTCTGTCAGTATACAAACAGACCCAGTATACAATAAACGAGCAGTATTTAACAACATAACATTTTAAATAATGCGGGTTTAATTACGTAATAGTCAAACCCGCAGGGTTTTAAATGAAATCTACTTAAAACTGCCATAAACACATTTTTGTAAAGTAACATAAGAATTTTAGAAGAATCACGCATCATTATCATCTGAACCGAAAGACTACCACTGCTGGACATAGGCCTTCCGCAAGGCTATTCAGCATGGTGTCTTATAATAGATGGGTTCTCCAGTATGGATGCTTTCATGATTCTTCCCATATTATCTGTAAAGGACGTACGTAGATCATAAATGATGTTACTAATCAGATTATTACGTCTTGAGATTAGTGCATTCGAACTTAGACACTTAAACTTTATAATAATAGTACAGAAAATTACCAAACAGGTGTTCAGTAATAGGTTAATCACTTTATACTTACTATATTCTCATTGTGTCATAATCGGTACCTAACTATCATAAACACATTCTTACTAAATGATCCTTCTGTGAACGTTCCTCTGTGACCACTTTCCGCATTCCATGAAATTATTACAGTTGAGCAAAACCACTGGTATTCCACCTAGTAAACAGTTCAGTCATCGGTCAAGACTGCAATCGACCACAACCCGCCTGCTTCCAATTTGCCCCTTTGCGGTATCTGTTGTTCGTACCTATTTAATCGTATTCAAATGAAATGAATAAGTAGAATACTGGTGAGTTTAAATAATCATTGTGAAGGTAAACTAATCGTTATGAATTTTGACTATCTATTGAAAATGATAGTCAAAATTCATAATGATAGAAAAGTTCGATACTATAATTATGACTATAACTACGACTATGCTGCTACGTGACTATGTTCGATTATGTAGCGCTAAGATTTTCTGAGTCTTGATGCTCTTCAAGCGGCTGAACAGATTTACTTTAAACGTTGTCAATAACATTCTATCGGACAAAAAAATTATAAAAAAAAAACAAAATTATAACGAATGGACCGAGCATCCGTTTACACAAGCAGATGTATAAATAAAGAAATAAAAGACAATATTTTAAAAACAAAAACTCACAAACGCGAAGTCTTACGACAAGAAAAGTGTGGTACTAATAAAACCAGTAAGATTTTCAAGCCGTATTGTTCCTCTATTTTTTATTTAACATTAACATAATGTTTTCACAAAATAAACATTATCTCGTTTATTTTCTGGAAACATTATGATGGTTGAGCAGTTCAGTCATAAAAGTGTAACAAACTTACATTTGCAATTAAAAATATTAGCTGAAAGTAAAGATAGAATTTTGAAATTAAAAATTTTACTTTCTTAATTATGGATTTTGGATACGAAAACCCTTTTAAACGACTTTTTACCCCCTCGTTGCGTTTCACGGAAAATTAACGCAATAATTTTCATCGAGTCGTTAGGTAACTTATCCCGCTTTCAAACATTAAAGAAATATTCTCTTTCCTGTATATTTTAATTAAAACTTTGGTCTTATTAACATTTAATGAGTTTTATTTTACTCAAGTATATTTTAGCTTAACGTGCATCCTGTTTTTTTTTTCAGGAACGGTCCTGTGGAGGGTGCGTACGGGTCGCAACACAGTCCGGTGTCGCGGTCCGACGCCTCCACCGAGGACGCGGAGCTCTCTGCGGCACTCGCACACCAGCACCATCTCGCTATGCAGGTCTGTTAAAAATGCAACTAATTAACTCGGTGTACTCATGCACCACATGCACCACATGAAATTATGGAACTAGGACTGACATTATGAAACGTTAACTGGTAATGGTTAACATTTTCAGAAGTCTTACGCACACATGTGAAAAACTATGAAAAACACATTTAATATGTGTAAAAGAAAATACATATGTGTGATAAACGCATATAATTGTGTTTCGCATTGAACCTTCAACACCAGAAAGTTGATACTTAGTATACAATATCGTCATTATTTTGTTCAAAATTAACACCTTCTACCAAATAAGTTCTCTTTTAAGTAGCACGGATATATTTAGTATATGTGAAAAGATAGAAACAAAACCTAAATAATACATATAACGTGATCGCATTTATTTCCGGTACCCATTTTGAACATGATGAGCATCCAATAAAATACTCGTAATGTAAAATTCAGTCGAGGGCATTATCAGAATATTAAGTTACAGGCCTACAACATCATCCAGAAAATATTATATAGCTTGGAATTACCTATTTAACACGCGCTACATAATTGGTATGGCATTTCCTGTTTTTGATATTACTATTCTACTCTTATAAAAATAACTTGTAACAATCACACTTTTATATCAATAGACGCCCACGTGGATTAAAATCCATACAACCGTCGCCGGTGGGATGCATAGAAGTATGGTATAAAACGCCCGCGAAAAAAAATCTGTGATTGATAGATAGCATCAATATAAATGAAAAATGTATGAAAAAAAAAAAGTGACAATTATAGGTTACAAACCCTCGTTGCTCGCAGTTATTTCTGATGTCTCTTGAATCTAATTACCGCCGTACTGACCTTTGTGTCAGATACCTACTGAAATGAGATCATCACTAAGATAATAAGAATTCGTTTTGAAGTAATTACAGTAATTTTATATATTCCTTGTACGCTTCAAAGAACTGGACACAAACAGAAAAAAACACGTGCCCATAACTAAATCTTAAACTTGTAATATAGGCAGATAGAAGTTGAGCGCAGGTACCTGATGAACCAAAACAGGGTTAAGTCATTGAACTTTTATTTGTATTTAACAAATATAGCATTCGGAGAATATTATAATACCTTAAGAAATCCTCCACATAACTAACTCTTTTAAACTATCGCGTTTCATAAAATATAATTCTTTTTACGGGAATCAACGCACTCACGAAAGGTATTACGAGTAAGTCATGCCTTTGAATTACCTGACGTTTCCACCAGGTTGAACTGGCCGTGGTCACAGACTGACTCACCAGGCCTACCTAAATTAAACAATTCCTGTAGTATTAAGTTTATATTCTCACCATTCATACCATTCCTTTCTAAAGTTCTTGAACGTCCTGTTTATAATCAAGTCAATAAGTTTCTGTTAAAGAACAATCTCCTAAATCCCTTTCAGTCTGGCTTCCGTGTAGGACACAGTACAGAGTCAGCATTAATCCACATCACAGATGATATGAGAGAAAACATGGATAGTGGAAACGTAACGGTATTATCCTTCCAGATACACCCATGCACCTGTCAGTATGTTATCGACTGAGAGCACATAAGTCTTGGAGTAACGATTATGGAATCAAAATTAATCCCACAAAATCACAGTTATGCGACATTGAGAGTCCCACAATGTCTGATACCAGTGATTCTTGATTATGCCGACGCCAGCTATCTCGATCTCACCGAAGCACATTTTGTTAACTTGAGCGTCTTCAAATTTTTTGCATACGATTCATATTTGGACGTCGCAAATATGATCACGTTTCCTACTACCGTAAAGAGCTCAAGTGGCTTCCAATCCGCCATCGCCGGAATGTTCATATCTTTGCGCTTCTGTATAATATTCTATTTAATCCATTAACTCCTGTTTACCTCAAAGAACACTTTAAGTTCCTTCATTACACACATATGAAATGTCTGAGGTCATCTGAAAGCCTGAGATTGGAAATACCAAGGCATTCTACCAAGGCTGTACGTTTACGCCTGGAATGCCTTGCCGGTATCAGACGTGCGCAATCCGTAACCACCTTCAAGACTGTGCTGTATAAGCATTATCTGTCTCTCATAGTTGAAAATTAGTGTATGTATATATGAATGTATGTATGTATAAATATAGATTAGTAGGATTTATGTATGATAAATATTTTATAGGTTAAGACCCTATTTATTACTCTAATTTCTGTGTACCTATCACCAGTTCAAATTGAATCCAGTCCATCCAAAGGTTGCCTGGAAGAAATTGCTGTAAGCGATAAGGCCGCCTTTTGTACATTACATCTGTTGTTCGTTTAATTACTTTATAGTGTATATATAACCCTGGTGTGCAAATAAAGTATTATCTATCTATTATTCTTAATTCCTTTGTCCGGTAACACAAACTTTTAATTATTCACTGTGAGGTCTTCTATCAAAAACATGGGTATGTGTATTTTATTTTATTTTTTGTTTGCAATTGAACTAAATAATAAGTTTTTTGCTAATATTATTTAGAGTAAATTAAAGAAAAGACATGTTAAAAATCTTTTGTTCAAGCTACTAAAAACGAGATGTTTGAATATCGATCATAATACGAGTATATCAATCATTGGATTTCAGATAAGAAATCGCTTTTTTTTCTAAACAATTGTAAATTCCAGATTTTATATTTTTCCATATAGTTATTTATATTTTAAACTTTTGTATAGGCTGGTGAATATCCAGGAGTGGTGGGCTCTGGCGTTGATCCGGACTATGGACAATATGTATCCTCACCGGCGGCACATTATAATCACATGGGACATCTCACCATGGCACCATCACAGAAGTACCCACACGTAAGTTAAAAGCCAACAAAGCAAAAAGTCAAAAATGTCAAATGTTCAATGATTCTTTAACTCTTACAGTTTTTATTTGTCTCTGATTTTTTCTTATGTCGTTGGAGAATAAAAATAAGGTGAATGGACAAGTAGCGATCACAACAGTTTATTATAATCGTGTATGTACAGGTAATGGATTCTGTATCTGTAAGCGGTGGAGGCAGCTACGCGGGTGCTGGTGGAGCAGGACACTACGGGACCTATGGTCATTATGGCACTGCAGCATACCAACCACAGCCTACCTACATGGTGGAGACTACCCAAGTGCCACCTTATATGGGACAAGTCAGTCAAATATATATTTTTCATACTTAGATAGTAAAAAAGCAACTTCAGAAATAATATTCCTAAAATATGAAATGGAATTGGACCTGATGTTCATCCTTGTGGTACTCCTGCCGTAATAAACGTATTTTAGGTACACGACTTAAGTTGGATGTTGTTGTTCTTCCCTCTTTCATTATAAATTGAATTTAAACCTACAGCTTGTTTGTCATAAGACATATTTTATTGAAAGTGATCCGGATTTTATAACGCGAAATCATGAAAGAGACAATTAAACAAATTATTCTTTTAATTAGAGTATGAGTAGATTATGTATGTTTCTTATATTCATATACGCGGGAAGCCGTTGAATGCGGGCAGCAAAGAACCGGTTGTTGTGGCTAACTTTGGGGGAGGCCTATGTCCAGCAGTGGACGACTTTCGGCTGAGATGATGATGAATCCAATGTTATAGTAATTTTAACAATATTTATTAATCATTGTTATTAGATATGTTGCGTTGCCAGCTCGTCAAAGCCAGCTTTTATTTTCACGATATTTTTTTTATTATGTTTTCTGATGTTTTGAGCTCTAATTTTTTTTCAGGAGTATGTCGAAGGTGGCGGCAGTGCGTCACCTCGAAGTGCTTCCCCAGGCGCGTTACCACAACATAATTTACATTTACAACAAAGGTATGTTAATTATGTAATAAAAATAATACATGGATTTATATATTAGTCATCTCATCTTTACTACAATGGATATGAATAGTTGATTGTTTATTATTGATTTTTCTATTGTCTTAGTAAATGTTGATAGACTACAGCGATCAGAATATTTCCGTACGCCAGTGCGTTATCGTGTATTCTTCTCAAATCAACTAGCTATTATAGTTTTGTGTTGTGTTGTTTATTCTTCAAGTGGTCTATAGTCGATATTTGTTAACTTCATCGCATCGCATTTCCAGCGGTTTAAGTGCTCTTCATTCCCACCAGCTTAGCCCATTCCATTTAGTTTTGTGTATTTGATCTTATAAATTACGTGATCCACAAATAATGATCAGAGTATTTTGAGTCAATTCAATTTAATAAAACGCTGTTTAAGAATTTTACGACAAAATGCTAAAATGTCGGTCAACTTGTATACATTTGTGTAACAAACCCCATTTATGATAATAATAGTTAATTAGCGCGTCCTTCAACGAGTTTGAAAACTTAAACAGCCATATAATGACAATAGCCAATTTCATCAGATAAAAATTAGGATGGGTTAAAAGACAATGAAGTCATTTCAGTAAAGTGTCCAAACAAACAATAATAATAATCTCACACATCTCATCGGGTAAATGGTAGTAATGAGTAATAAAGCGAACCTCATAACTAAGAACTGTTAAAATTAATGACAATTATATATGTCATTGTGTTTTGTTGACGACATACATTTTTAATTTAATTTTAAAACAGGTACGTATTTCATAATTTCATTCTCTACATGTTCACAACCGAATTTAGTAGTTTTTGCTTGAATCAGATTTTGTCATATTAGTAGCTACTGAATAATATTAAAACTGTCTTGCAGGTACGATTCAGCGTCACTAGAACAACTGGGACGACATTACTGTGTGACGTCACCGCGTGGCGAGTATGCACCTGATGCGTACGGCTACCAGCACTACCCCACGGCCTACGAACCTCCTCATCAACCTGCGCCTTTTAAGGTATGCATATGTTTTTGTTTCTTTGTTTTAATTGTGCGTCAGTTAGACACATAGACATTAGTCGCACACACAGAGAATATAATCATATTTGACACACACACACAGAACTCTTTGCGAAATCGTCACAGCAACGAAGTGTCATAACCTAAAGCAATATTCCTGTGGGCAATCTAAACTAAATTGCCCACAGAAATATTGCTATAGATTGCGAACTCTCGTAGTTTCAATACAACTTGTCAGTCAAATATAATAGGCAATATATAAGTATGTCAGCAGATCTATTAACGCAGTGTGTACCTGTGTTACTGTATAAATATTATTTCAAACAAAAGTTTTTTCGTTTCCGATGAAATTATGTCTTTACTAAGGTCACACTGCAGTTTTGATTCCTGTTTGACACGTAACTATCAAGTTCCCGGCGAACATATACATTATTGCTTTTAGTTTAGTTGGGACCGTTTGCTTATAACTTCGGCGCGTGTGCCCCATAGCATGGCACTTCTTATTTTCAGTGGTTGCCACGTATCTGTATACTTTTTTGGCCAAGAAAGGTGAAGGTAGGTTCCTCACGCTTGCTGTGATGACTTACACTCAATACGAAGCCTTAGGCGTAGTCTCACAGTAATTAAACCCTAACACAACAGACAACAGACACCATATAAGCGTGCGAATTCGAATGTGATACTCTGTATAATTTTAATACACTCAGTATATTATACACCGATATGTTCATTCTCCTCCTCTCCCCCCTACAATGTAGGTAATCGAGATATGATAATAAAAAAAATATCAGCATTAATGATTGTACTTTCGTCTGTTCAGGATTCACAAAATGGATTAAGTCTAGGCAGCGCTGGAGGACAATCGATGTATGGTGACGACGAGGAATTACAGAAGCAAATGGCTAACATGGCATTAGGTATGTGATGAGTTTATTTTGAAATGCATCCTAATGGATACGTGATATGGTTAATTTTAATATGAAATATTTATCACAGTAATAACTACTCCGAATAGCTGGTTGAGTCGTTGCATTTATCTTTAGAATATTTTTGAGGATTACATTTTTTTATTTTTGTTAATTTGTCTTAAGAAAAGAAAATAATTAATTGTATTGTAATCGCTACGAAAAGGCGAGCAGCCCGTTGAAAGTATCTTATATTGTAATATACTCGTAAGCAACTAATAAATACATAAAAAATAGTAATTATCTCTAAATAAACAGCTGTCTTGTTAACATTTATTAGTATTTGAGTTAGGTTACAATTATTGTAATTTCTAGTTCCTAAAATTGGTTTTTTTGTACATTTCTTAGAAATACATTGCATAAGAAGGACTTAGCATGAACATTATATTTACGGTTTAACCTTCGCATAAAACAAGAACATACAAGCAGTTGCATAAATATAAGATAAAGAACCGATAAAATTGTTACTATGTTTGCTGTCGATACGTAATGCAATGCATTCGTAATAAAATGCATAGAGTAAATATTATTATGTGAAACTCATGTCAACGGTATGTTATCAGTATTTCATAACACGTACAAAAAAATCAAAAATCACTTAAGCATTTTTTTTTGGTAGATAAGGTTTTAATTCAGTCAATGTTTTTTTTTTTAAATACGGAATAATGAATGTAGAAGAATGTACATTTAAGAGAATACCAACGAAATAAATCTTGCATTTGACACTTAAATAAATTAAGTGATCACTACAGTACAGACAGCATGCGGTGATCAGACAACAGTATGTATCAAGAAAAACCTGGTTGCCGATGTGTAGAAATTGATGCCCTCCAATAAAGAGAAAGAAAAGTTTTACGAAAAGTAGAAGGGGTTTAGCTAAATTCTATATAATGATTCAGAATTAGTTTGCTACACTCAGTCGTTGTTTTATGTAACCGATGTGTTTGTGGCTGTAATTTATTCACCAAGTTTCTACTTAGGATCTATTTTTTATAATAATAATATTCTACAACATTCACACAACGCCATCTAGTCCCAAACTAAGCAGAGCTTGTACTATGGCTACTAGACAACTGATATAAATACACATATACTTTTTTTTTGTAAAAACATACTTATTAATTATCACTTTTCCTTTTGTCAGTTCACGGTGGTGTCGGCCGAGAAGAAACAGGTGGACTACAATGGCGCGACCCGAATCTACCAGAAGTGATCGGTTTTCTCAATTCTCCTTCAGACGTGGTCAAAGCCAATGCTGCCGCTTACCTTCAACACTTGACGTATATGGATGATCCTAACAAACAGAAAACTAGGAGTCTAGGTAAGAGATTTTTTTCTACTAATACGTAGCTTCACGAAGCTTGTAAGTAAATATCACATATGCCTCGTGGTCATCAAAACCACACGCGATGCCAGTTGAGTCACGTGTTGTCAAAACATTGTTTATGTCTGGCACTCAGTTATTTTTTCCTTTAAAAAGCAGTCCGGGTTAAAAAAAATGGCGATAAGCTCCACTCCAAAAACCGGCTCGAAGAAAAGAGTTTCATCATTTTTTTTATAAAGTAACATTGTTCTTCTTTTTCCAATGAAATTACGAAGGATAAAGACTATCCTAGATGCCTGTATGGCACTGACATTCTTGAGCTTATGAACACTTGGATGATTGGGATTCGGCGTTTGTTTTTAACGTTGATTGAAAGACACGCTGGGCAAATCGACGTGTAAAAGTATCTGAAAAGATATATTTACAAAATGAATTGTTCTTTCAGGTGGCATTCCGCCTTTAGTGCGATTAGTGTCGCACGAGAACCCCGAGGTGTGTCGCAACGCGTGCGGCGCGCTGCGGAACCTGTCGTACGGGCGACAGAACGACGAGAACAAGCGCGCCATTCGCGACGCGGGCGGCATCCCCGCTCTCATGGCGCTCCTGTGTCGGGCTACCGATATGGAGGTCACTATTATTCGTTTATTAGAAAAAAATAGTATATAAAAATAATTATTACTCTAAACGTAGGCAGGGCTGTAGTAGTTATCGTCTAGGTATATCGTAAATTAATACTTTCACGAAATAAAATTTTAAACTTACGATTTAAATAAAATTAGTAATAACGCTTTTAATCGCTGTTGACTGACTTTTAAATCGGGACTCAATATTCAATACAATCTTCGTTGGATTTAATAATAATAATGGAATTTCTGTTCACACACTATCTAACTTAACAGACGTTGTCCTATAAAAATCACAAAAAAATAATGGAAAATGACTTGTTTTATTTAACCTTAAATAACTATTATGAATAAACTCAATTAATAACGACTTTTCTGTGGACACGACTTTTCTTTTAACAACGAACGGCAATTAATTCTTATTTATACAAGTATATTTGATCGCATCTGTAGGGTTTCGACCTATATAGTAATTAAGGATATCATTAGCTTACTAAAAACACTTCACGTTTATTTTGGCTGATTTTGAAGCAACTGCCAAAACGGTTAACTATTAAGATTTTTTTTGCTAGGAATATTATATAAAAGTATGAGTTTTATCTAATTTTAAATTAGTCATCGCTATTGACATTTTACAATACATTATATATTTTTTAAATGTACAGGTCAAGGAGCTGGTAACAGGCGTGATATGGAATATGTCATCCTGCGAAGATTTGAAACAGTCCATTATAGATGATGCAGCTCAAGTAATTGTCAACAAAGTCATTATTCCTCATTCGGGCTGGCACCCCACCAACCCAGGCGACACTTACTGGTCTACTAGTGAGTTTAATTCAATCTGAAATTATGTAATTGTTGACCTAAGTGAGTCACCCAATCTATTGCAATCCGGGGGATTTTCGGGAAGCGTAACCTATATACATAATTCCTTTGAATTAATCTAAAAAAAAAGGTTGAGATTTAATTACAATTGGAAAAGATATGTAGCATACATAGTAAGTTTGTCAGTAATAGTAAAAGTTCTATAATTATAGTTATCCATTTATCTTAAAATATTAAAGTACAAATTATAGAAGTGGAAATACAGTTAGTTCACAAACTATTTCTATATAAAACAAGTGTGAGAGAATAATTTTCTCCGGAAGTGATATTTTACTAATCGATAAGTTATTAGTATTTTACTGCGAGATTAAATGGTGTCCGTGGCGTGTCGAGTGGTAACGTGAGGTGTCGCCGCTTGCAGTATTCCGCAACGCGTCGGGCGTGCTGCGCAACGCGTCGTCGGCGGGCGAGTACGCGCGGCGGCGCCTGCGCTGCCTGGGCGGGCTGCCCGAGGCGCTGCTGCACGCCGTGCGCACGGCGCTGCAGGTCAACGCCATCGGCACCAAGATCGTCGAGAACTGCGTCTGCGTGCTCCGGAACCTCTCCTACAGGTGCGGCCCTCGCTCCCCACTCTCAATAATGTACTACGATGACAAACATACATAAAAATATGTATATAACTAAATACGTACATACGTTTTATAAATAAAGTACACCCAGGCACAGAACAAATGATCGTGCTCATCGCACGGTAATTTGTCCTGCGTGGAATCGAACCCACTAGGCCGGTCAATTATTAAACGTCAATGGTAATAATGGCTTTCTAAGGAGAGGCCTATGTCCAGCAGTGGACTAGTAAAAGCTGTCGATGATGGTCAATGCTATTGAATATTTGGCTATTGTGATGACTGAAAATACTATTTATGTTCGTGCTGCACCGAAGTTTACGTTCCAATGACGTTGTTTTATTCTACAGATGTCAAGAAATCGAAGACCCGTTGTACGACACGAGGGCGCCACCTACGCAATCATCCGGACAGGCCAGAATACAAGCGAGCGCATCCAAAGGTAATAAATAATAATATAAAGTAAATGAAAGTATAGATAACATTCTAAAATGTATTAAAAGTACAATATATATCCACGGTTTCATAGCTTTCAAAACGTTTAGATATTTTAGAAGAAGAAAATATCAGTGTTAGATACTTACTCTTACCCGTAATTTCTGAAACCAAATCTTAAAGTACAGTTTTTAATCTTGCTGTCTATTTCTCAGGAGAGAATCTCGGCTGCTTCGGCGGCAGTAAAAAGAAGAAGGAAGGCTCGTCATCATCAAACTCCACCTCCCCTCTCGGCAAGAGCGAGCCGGAACCTCAACCTTTAGGTGACACGGGAGGTACACAGCTTGGGTACTCTGTGCCTAAAGGAACTGAGATGCTTTGGTCCCCAGAGGTGAATTTTTACATATATATATTTGTTTTTTTTAAGATTTAATATGGAAATAAAGCTTGTTTAGTTTTGTTTCTTATTCTACTAAGTAGTTTTACTTCTACCTATACTACTACCTTCCTGTATGTCGAAATTTATTTATTTATACCTCTTTTGTCTCAATTTTGGGCCGTACAGTCATGTGTTTTAGGTGTAAAATACATCATATTGTTTATTGTTATTTTCAGGTCGTACCTCTCTACATGGCTTTACTTCAAACTTGTTCTAATCCTGAAACGCTGGAAGCTGCGGCTGGAGCACTACAGAACTTAGCGGCGTGCTACTGGCAACCATCTATTGACATAAGGGCTGCTGTTAGGAAAGAGAAAGGTATAATACAAATATTTTGGTGTAAAACATTTTTCCCCTCTATTTCGTGAAAAGGGACGGAAATGTGTAACATGGAGCCAGCTTATAGTGTTGGCTGTCAAATGGTGATTGAGATGTTAGATATTACACTCATATGTGACTACTGTAGGACTCTCATTTCTTTATGTAAATCTTTGAGTTCGAACGTAAGTTTTGGCTCTTATCTTGTGTATCACATTTAATTTTGTCTTTTAGGCCTACCAATCCTAGTGGAACTTCTTCGCATGGAAGTAGACCGTGTGGTTTGTGCGGTCGCAACTGCTTTACGGAACCTCGCGATTGATCAACGCAATAAGGAACTTATTGGGAAGTACGCGATGAGAGATCTAGTTCAGAAGCTTCCTAGCGGAAACCATCAACACGACCAGGTAAACAACTTCGCTATTTGCCAAATACTTGCAATACTACACGAATGTACTAACTTTTAAACTATCGCGTTATAAAGTATATAATTATGTTAACGGGAATCAATGGGCTTACGATAGGTATTAAGTACATACCTTTGAATACACGAATCTAAGTAATAAATAGCTGCATGTATAAAAATGCAGGATAATTTGTCAGTTAAGGAAGTGGTGGTTTAGTTATTAACGCAGTTTAGTTAAAACTTTAACTCAATCGATCTCTGTTATGGCTATTACTATTGTCAAAAGAATGATTTCACAGTGGAATAGAATAGTAATTGGCGGTAATCAAATATTGTGCATATCCAGGGAACATCAGACGACACGATAGCTGCCGTCCTGGCGACACTGAACGAGGTTATAAAGAAGAGCGGCGAATTCTCTCGATCGTTGCTGGAGGCGGGCGGTGTGGAGCGACTGCTCAACCTCACCAAGCAGCGACACCGCCATACGCCCAGGGTTCTCAAGTTCGCAGGTCTGTTCTCGATACATCGGTTATATTAATAACAATTATTATATTTAACGTTTTGTGTAGAAATAGAATGTAGAAATAAACTTCATTTTATACCATTGAAATAATAATAGAATAATGGAAATATCACGAGGTCAAACATATGACGTTTAGTTTTACATTTAGTTTTTTAGATGTTATTAATTATAGGTATTCTTTCGGTCGGTCTTTTTTTAACCGATATTGTAATCATGCTGTGAAACATAAGCAATTTTAAATTGTTTAATGTAAATAGGTATGAAGTTTTTGTTAAAAAAATATAAAGACAACTTTTAGATCCAGGTAAATAAATAAAAGAAAAAAAAGTTGTGTAAGTAAGAAACGAGGAGAAAATATGAGGTGAGGTATGAGGGAGCTTCTATAGAGTGTTGTTGGCGCAGGACAAGTGCTGATGACGATGTGGTCACACGCGGAGCTGCGCGAGGTGTACCGCAAGCACGGCTGGCGCGAGGCCGACTTCCTCACGCCAGCGCGAGCCGCACAACCGCGCGCTCCCTCCACCACCAGCGGTCAGTACCCCCCACCACACCACCACACACCACCATACACACCGTCGTGAGCTTGTTTGCTACATTACTAGTATTTTTTTTATACAACATTATTTTAATTTCAATGTTTGAATTCCTTTCACAGAAAATTTCAATGATGTCTCATGAATTATATACACTCTAATATGATATAAAACCTAACATACTTTGATATTCCCTTACACTCTGTTCTTTGAAATTACACCCGGTATTTCGTGTTATTTTATTAAGATTCCTTACACTGATAGTAATGTTGTATAATTAAAAAGAGTACAAGGCGAACCTGCTTGATTTAAAATACTTCTACAGTTACAGGAAACCCATCCATTTTACACACTACTACTTCAGTCTGTAAATAAATGTGTTGTATGATTCTAAATTATTTGTATAAATGTAAAGTGTATGTACTGTGTATCATGTCACCCACTCGCTGTGTGAATCTCACGCTAACTACCATAAATTAGTCAACTAAACTAATACGAATAGTCAACTAATTGCAACTTACTAAATTGTACGTATATGTCGTCACGCTTCTAAAACTAATAGTTCAGTGATAGTTTTCCAGTAGCATACTTCTTTATGTCTCATCAATGTTACGAACACAGAATGACATAAAATATAATTTTAAATTTTTAACATAGTTTTAGGTTTACCTGCAGTTTTACTTGCATTTTTAGACACAACGCTGTTCATCCGTGTTAGCTTTCATACGCAATGTATGAGAACATGAATTTTCTTCATAACAAATTTTTCGTTTTTTTTATATTTTATTAGTTATTCTGCTTTTTGGTGCAGAGACAAATTTAAAAAAATCAAACATCAACATAAAAAACGGTCCAGCCGTTCCTGAGTTATAAATACTTCAGTATAAGTTGTCCGAAATAATACTATTAGTAAAAACCTGTTTCTAGACACCTCTCTGTATGAATAGTTAGACCATATCTCACCACACAGGAATTAGAAATAGAAACTGACGAATGAGCTGATGAATCGTATTTAAACGTTATTATACCTTCGAAATTAACAGAAAAGGAAATCAATTTCTGACACAATTTTTTTATTAACTACTAGCTGAGGTGTTACCCGCGTTTGTTGTTATAACCGCGGGCAACGCCGCGGGGCGAAGCTAGTCTAAAAAAAGTAGCCTAGGTTACTCCTTATGTCATCAGTTATCTGCCAGTGAAAGTTCCGTCGACATCGGTCCAGCCGTTCCAGAGATTACCCGGAACAAACAGACAGACAGACAGACAAAAATTGTAAAAAAATTTATTTTGGCATATGTACCGTGTAAACATACATATGCATTTAGTAAAAAGCGGTTATTTTAATATTACAAACAGACACTCCAATTTTATTTATTTGTATAGATGATTGAGCTACTTATTAAAAAATAAAAAAATCTGTTTAATTTCTAAGTATTTTTGATGAACCAAATGCCAATGCTTTTTAAATGCCAATGCTTGGTAAATAGTTCGACGAGAACACATATTATTTTTATTACTTGCAATTTAGCGATCAGGGCCAGAGTCAGATACTCCTGTTGTAGTAATTTTCGAGTGCTTCTCATGCGATACATTTAAGGTTAGTAACAAATGAAATTAAAAGAAAACTTTTCTTTTAATTTCATATCCCGCTGTCTTCGTCTATTTAGTGTATTTTAGCTTTCAAAAATATTTCATCACAGTACATCATCAAGTATTAACAAAATGAAGTACTAATATCTACATACTTGTAATTATAGTTTAAAATGCAAGGACGATAAAGAATACAGAGATAAGAGTAGCAAAAAATTAGCAAGTTGATAAGAGTTAGTCTAAAAACTAGTATTGAATTAATTATATTGATTTTACTTTAAAACGTTTCTTCTAGCACAATAAAAATGGTGAACAAAAAACGTATGTCTTAGTAAATGAATTCGTATGATTTAGAACGTACTAGATTTATCTAGAACTTAATAATTTGTGATGGTACTCTACAGACCGACATCTAAAACAGATACGTGGAAGTAATAATGTTACGCTTAGTTAAATAAGTGCTTCTAAGCATCAACGGTAATAACCGACGGTCAACCCTAATTAATTTGAATGCCTAAATAAAAATTTATTCAACATCGGATACAAAAACAAAGGATTTTAAGGTTGTAAATAAAAAAATGACGATATACATGTACGCCACGAAAAATGACATTAACCAAGTTAGCCTGAGAATCACAACGCTCCTTACACAATTGGCTTACGCGGTGTGGGGCTATAGGTCAGGGTACGCCGTCGTCGGGAGCTGGCGCGCCTCACTCACCCAGCAACGCAAACAGCACCCTCAGCCGGCCCATGGCGTCGACAGGCGGGACCCGTTACGAAGACCGCACTATTCGCAGGCATCGGGAGGTAACGCACTGCCCTTGACATTCTCTTTTGCATTATATGCTTAAACTTTACATCTCGGTTTTCGCCTTTCACTTTGGTTTATACTCATATACACAAATATGGCTATATGGATATAAGGATATAAACAATATCTTTTTATTCGGTCAACAGTTAAAAGAAAATATAGTCCATTCGCGTTAAGAAAATAGTGACGCATTAATCAAGCCCTGCTCAATGACCAGTCAGGTTCCCAGAAATTATTGTTTCGTACTAAAGCTTGGAAACTGATTGATCTGAAGGCCAATTCTCGTAATAAAAGTTCAGTCACAATTCAGTGCCGATCAACATAGAATAAATGATTATGACTATCACAAAATGACTTAACCGATGTTCGATTCTCAATGAAACCTTTCAACCTATGGATCAGCAGGATCACTAACAGACCATTTAAAACGGTTCGAATGAACCATCCCCATATTAAATTAATAAATGTATTATTCGATATTTGATGGACAGATTTAACCCAAAAAACCATAAAATATATATTTTAAATTTTTATGTCAAGAGAAAGCGTGTAATATGTAAATAGTACAGAAATAAACTGTTTTCCCACATCATTTCATGTTAATTTGATTGATTTTCTCAGTTTTTTAGCACCAGGTATCTTTTCTATTATTTGCACAGTCAATGTATTATGTAAATAAACCATTTATTTAATCCCTAAGTCATTAAATACAACAATTGAGTCATTATAATTGTCAGTGTACATAAAAAATTGTTTTTACTCGCTTGTACACATCAATAATTTGCCTGCTACATTTGCTTCTGCTGATAGCACTTCCTCTACAACAGCACTATTGTATTTTAAATTATTATGATTTATTCAAGACCCACTATATAATACAGTTTTATGAACACATAGTTTTAAGACGAATCTCTCGGTGATAAATAACCACTCTGTCAATATTCAAACGAAAGTCTCACAGTTCGCAAAAATGATTGTCCTGTGCACAAATTAGTGCATGGTTCATAAATATTTAAATTTAAAAGCACATGTTTACAAAATGTTCTTAACGAGATCTATGGAAAAAGATGTTCTAAACTAGACTTAATACTACAAAACAGAGACCTGAATATTGGAGAATGCTTGGTCGCCATTTTTTTGTTACTTTTATAGTATCAAAAGCAACACTTTTTATTTGCTTTGCAAACATTTTGCAAGATTCTTAAACAGTAATCTAAGAAAATAATATACAAAAATACCACAATCTAAATCGACTTTTGAAAAAAGAATTTGTAAATAAATCATATATAAATTACAAATTGTAAAAATGTTGTAACATAGTAAAACTTTTATTTATTAAATATGTTATTAAACTTACTCTATCTAAGTACAGACAAAGGATAGCATTTCTTCATTTCAAAAGAAGATTCAAAAGAATATTTGTACGACAATCAATGGTTATAAACCTAAGATACAGTTGATGGACTCTAGAAAACCAGTCATGAATATTTTATTCTATCCATAAAAATCGATACAATATTTACATTGATAATGTTCCATATAAAAATACAAGCAATAATATCAATAACATAAATAGAAACCGACAAATAAGATTATTATTGAGTGTTCTTAATTTTCAGTTGGTCAAGTCCTACTCTGCCAGCCTGAAGCCTTTTGTAGTTTTTATTTCTCCAGACTCAGTGTTTAAAATACAATGTTTATATTCTCTTAACAGAACGATGACATGCCAGCGATGGAGGCGAATAATTACCACGATGGTTTAGGCATGGGGAATCCGAACGGGCGGCCCATGAATTTACAAGGCGTGCAAGCACAGATGCCCATGCCGCCTAGCAGTCGTTAGCGCCTCCCTGCCGTTGTCGCCACTGCATAGAACTGCTGACAGAAATTAGGTAAACACTTTATATGTTGTCCTTTTCTAACACTTTGGTGAAGAAAGAGAGTTTATTTATGTTTAATTTCTGTACATATTAGTGGTAATACTTCAACATCGCAGTTTCAGAGATTTTAATTTCAGAATACACACGTAGAGATGTTAAAAAGATACTAGACCGTTTCTCTATTGTTTTTTTTTTATTTGTTCTTATATCCTAGGTCGTTGGAAAAGGTTGCAAATTAAAGTGTTTATAAATTTTTTATCAGTAAGACTGATATTCAACTTCATAAAAATGTTAAATTAAAAAAAAGAAGACTATGTTTACACTTGTGTGATTAACTGTACTAAAAAAAGTATCTTAAAATTTGTTGCATGGAGATACATAAGTGTAGATGTGTGTTCAGATTTCAACATTTTGATGAAGTAGTTGTATATCTGCTGTGCTTAGAAAGATTGACTTCGTGGGTTTTTTTAAACCATAATATAACTTTTTACGTGGCAATTTTTCGGTTGTACAAAACACCTACATTAGGGTATCCCCAGTATTATAATTGTTGTGACCATAATTATTTTTAGTGAATTTTAATACTCACGAAGTCAATCTAGTGCTGAGACGTATTTATTATAGTATGGAGTACGTGCACAATCGTTTATGTTAAATCATCATTACATAGGTAGTTGCTCGTTAATTGTGGTGTATGCTATTTCAAAGTTAATCATGTACAGTCAACAACAAAATAATTTGGTACCATGTGACAGTCACATATGTTTCTTCCATGACATCTTTTCGAATAATATTTTATTTATAACATTTTCAAGACTGCAATTATCTAAATAAGTCACTTTGCTGTTTTGTAATCTTAATGCAATTCAATTCAATCGTAGAAAATCGACTTAATCAATGTATTATCTATATCAAGTCATTCGTAATTTATTAAAACTTTTGGAGTATGTATAATCAGGTTGTGTAAATCGATGAAATAAAACTATTTTTATTATAACTTTTTTTATCGTTAGTACATTTAAATGAAACATTTTTGTTGTGACTGTACATAAAATTATTTGCCTGAAGGCCTAAAATTTAATCATTGCATTTGTATGTACGTTTTATACAATGATTACTGCCATTTTGATTTGTAACGATATCATGTCAATTCCCCATGTATATAGACGTGCCATTTCTGTATTTATGATAAAATAAATTTATAAAAGGGGTTTCTTGTAGATGTGTTGTGTATTTTCTATTTAATGTTGAGGCTCACCACGATAGTATAGATTGTTTTCTTGTGGAGTTAAAATACAGTCGGTATTTCTAGATAAGGCTTATTATATGAAAACTCGAACCAAGCTTAGGTTTTATAAGATAAACATTTCATCATTATGCTTTTAAAGTTATAATAATATATTTCTTAGATGAAATTTATATAAAAGTTGTTTTACCCGTTAAATCAGTCAAAATAAATATGAAATGAAATGAAGAAGGAGAAATTATGAAAAAATCGTAAAGATCAAATTTCTATAGTGTCAAAACCTTAATTGAAATTGAAATGTAAGAATCTTACGTACTTAAAGTTTTTATTTTAATTGTCACAATAATTAATAACATTGAATTTGTTTTCAACAGAATTCAAACAGGTGGAAATTCTCAATTCGACTTATCTGTTTTTGTTTGTGTTACGCGCTATCTTGGCTATAAATAGATTCCAACAATAATATTTCTCTTAGTAAAAATTTGAACAAAAATACAAATAAAGGCGCAACATTAACAGAGAATATATATATACGCAAAGGTTATAGCTTATTATATATGATCATGATTTAAAGTTAAAAATTCTTCCCTATGTATAGTTATTGTTTACAAATTATATCTACAATAAAAATAATGATTGAAACAGAGGATCATTTTATAAATTACATTGTATTTCGACTCCACAATGAAACTTATATATGAATATCCTAAATACTAATATAAACCATTTATACTAAAAAGTCAACTAAACGTTTACATTTATAAATAAAATAACATTTCAAATTAATAAAATTTGAACCTTATTGTTATTATTTATAACGATTAGTTTAGAAACATAAAACCTAATCACGTGAAATAATATAATAGGAAAAAATAATTTGAAGGATTTCATAGTGGATTAGGTTTATATTATAATGATAATTATTATAGACGTTTTGTAATATTTTGTATCCATTCCATGGCCCTTATTGTAATGTAATATAGGCGTCTATTGTCCTCTAACGTAATATAAGTAATATCCGTCTTGTATTTAGCGTTAAGATGCATTATCGTGGGACGTTTATGGTATTTTGGTTCATAAAAATAATTCATAGACACAATTTGTGGAAAATTTGTTTTTGAGACTAACAATGCAAATGTAAACCTCACGCGTTATGAATAAAAACAACACCATAGCCACACGAGGCTTTTTTCGACTCTAAATATAAAAACTTAAGGTTTATATTCTATTGTTATCGAAATTCAAGTCTGGTATTTCCTCGTCCGTTGGCTTTTATTAATTTTTTCGGTAGTAGCATTTGCGTTTTGGTATTATGTTCTTTTACGATTCTATGAGAAAGATATGATATCTAAATATATTTTAAAAAAAATGTTCTACCGAGGTGAAAAAAGTTTTCGTGCATGTCACTGTCAGATGCCCATGCAAATGAGACGGTATACAGATGTGTTAAGTCGTGATGAAGTTATATATAATTTGTACATAATGTATGATTGTCACAGAATTGAGCTATACGTAAGAATTTATTTGGATGTCCAAAACTAATACTTTTATGAAGTATTTGATGAATATATAAATCTTGTAGAATGACTCTGGCAATGAACTGTCATTTCGGTTGCGTTTAAAAAAAATGCGATATTTGAAATTCATTTCTTAAATTAACGTCGTTTTTTTTATATTTTATTTTAAATATGAATTTCAAGTAGATTTATACCTCTATCAAATACTTAAAAAATGTAATAAACAATGCATAAAATTAATTTGGTTTAGATGGTCTTATGCTTGAGTTTTGAGATGTATTATGAAGGCAGGCAGAATGCAATTATAACTGGTTCTTTTATTTTAGTAAGTAAAAAACCTTAAAAGTGCAGAAAATAGCTGTTCTTTTTTGCCAGTGACGCTGAATCTCACAACGTTATGGAAAAAGAACAGACTTAAGCATTTGAATGCTTTTGAAACTTAAGCTGGATTATTGGAAAGTCAAAACCTAGTTAACTTATTGCTATTGTGTTTATGTGCTTTCAACCTTATTTATTTTAAACTAAAGGCAGTTATTGAGTGATACCAACAGTGTTGAAGCAATTGTATTTTTAATCCACGAAAATTGTGAATGTTGTCAGCTTTAAATATTATTTTTTCGGTTTATTTCCCTCCGTTTATCATTTTAATATTTAGTGTAACTATTTATTTTACATTATCACGTAAGGATTATTTTAAGGTTTGATGTAAGAAGGGTTTTGTGTCAAGATTTTTTTAAATGTAGTCTATGCACAATAATGCATTTTGGAAACGTCTGCGACAGGATAGCGATGACTGACAAAACCTGGTACAAACTACTCTCATCCAGTGCATTATAATATATTGTTTAAGGACCCGTGTATGTAAGTTTTGTATAATATTTTTTATTATAAAAATGTAAGGGAATGTACAAGGATGTTTTCTCTACAATAGGCTTGCCTCGTTGTTGCTTCTATGAAGCGAACTTTTTAATTAAATTACCGCATAAAAAGCTTTTATAAATTGTGTATTTGTGTTCGGTTGTTCTAGGAGTAAGTATATTATTTTATTATTTATCGACTTTTTAGATGGGAATCATAGTAAATTTGTAGGCATTATTAGATATATTGTTTTTATAATATTATATCTATTAATATTAATGTCTATATTAAATTTTATGGGAATCATTCTTGGGCTTTGTATAGTTATTATATTTTTTTAATTTACTACTTTTTATTTTTGTACTTCCATTTCACAGAAAAAGATCTCTAGATGTTTCCAAATTTTATTTTTAAGACGAGTTTCACCATGGATGGGCGTCTTAGCGCTGCTATTCACTAGCAAATGACGTAATAACTCCCTCAATGTTAAAAATAAGTCAATAAATACAGCTTTATGTTACGTTCTCTATGGTTATTACGTCACATGCCAGTAAACAGTAAGACTTAGTGTTAAACCACAAGTAAAATATATTAACATCTATGGTCAACCATAGATTGTAGTTGTTGGAACAGTAATACTCGATTATTTATATTTTATTTAAAATTTTATATTAAAAATAATATTTAACGAGATCGTCTGCGTTTGTCGTTGCGACAGTTTAGTAGTTAAATATAATGATAGTTTGTCTTACGTCACGTTGTATCTAGATTAATAGAGCATTATTCTCTTATATAAAGATACCTTATCATTAAACAAATTATATTATCAAAGAGAATTAAAGGAATGATTTTTTTATTTGGTTTTGTTTTTTTGTTTCCTTTATTTTCCTTTCTGTTACTATTATTTTAAAACAACAATAGAGATACTATTCCTAGGGCCTATGTAGTATCAGTATGGTCATTCGCTTATTTAAAATTAAACCTTATCGCAGAGTTCTTAAAGTATGGATTTGTATGTTACTGTACGAGACTTAATGGAATTAAAACATTTTCTAAAAATTTACATGATAGCATAGGAAATAGTTTCATCGCTTCTATTGTTTTATTTTTCATTATTAATAGATATTTCACTGTTTTCTAGTTAAATTAGAATATTTTTAGTATGTCGCCATAACTGGGTACTAGGTCATGTAGAAAATTATGGTAGACATTTTGTTTATTGATTTTGTTTGATTCTGTCAAAAAAGACAACGTATGAAAAGCCCGACGAATTAAATTTTGAAAAAAAAGAGAAGACGAGACTGCGGCTGGCTGTTTATAATCTTCAATTTTCAAAATAAAT